AAATTAAATTATACAGCCCCCCCCCCCCCCCCCCCTCCATAGCCTGTCTAGGATTTTTAGCAACCTAGCTGCCCCTATAGCATTTACCACCCTCTATGGTGACCGATTAAAGCGAGGTCCAGACTGTATGCTGAGGAATTTTATTGAAGAACTCCTGGGAGAGAGGGTTAGGGTCAGGATCATCCAGGCTGACGTAGACTCCTTTAATTAGTAGAACACAGTATCTGCTGCCATTCACAGACTAGAACCTTTAAGCCAGTAAGGACAATCTGTGTTTAGAGCTCCCGGCGAAGCAGTACTTGAATCAGAAGTCATCCGTCCAGTCATCTTCATCCTTAGTATCAGTAGTAGCCACTGGGCCCCCAGACTCAGGCCTCAGTGTGAACACATGGCTAGACTCACTCCTAGGCTTGAGGCCTAGCCAAATCAGACAGTCCATAGCATTCTCTCCCCAGGCAAGGCCCAGGGGAAGAAGAGAACCTCACATGGTCCGCCCTGAATAGTTATCCCTTCTCCCAGCATGTACCACTGGCCATGAACCTCCTAGTGATTGGCCAGGGAAACATAGATATTCATAACAATCCCTTATTGGTTGCTCCGCTCTGTGGCAAGGATACACCCAGCAGCAGGCAGAAGCAAACAAGAACAGATTGCTTAGGGGAAACCAGATGAGCATAGAATATAGATCAGCATCAGACTGAATACAATCTGATAACACTAAATTTACTAAGCACTCCTGCTTACAGGGTGCAACATAATCAGCAGGAGAGCAAAAATGTATTCCCAAATTAGCTGTTGGTGGAACATAGTGCCCAAGTTGTCAAGAGACAGCAGCTTTTTCTATTGAAGTCAATGAGGGGATGTTTTAAGGGTTCCTTGTGGCCCTCTGGAGGACTGCAAGATAAACTTATGTCACCCAAATGGCATGGGAAGCCCTCAGAGAGGGTTTTGTTCCGTTCTCCACGCAGAGCCCCAACACCTATATCTTATCCCAACCCATATATCTTTACTTCTTTGAAATCTTACTTTATATTGGCCGTTAAGTCACCACCAGGCAGCTGAGCTTTCTTTTATGGCGGGATACCAAGAGGAGGATCCAGAGAGGTGCCATGTGTCACCTCTGACAGTTTTCTTAGCACCTCAGTGAACTTTGGCGATGTGTGTGGCGGGCTCTCTGTTGCTTTATGGGGCAGTGTTGACAAACTGGTTAGCATCTATTTGCATAGGCTGCCAATCACTTGATGTGGGGTCGAGCAAACCCGGGAGGTCATCCATAAACATACGCCCACTAAAATTTTGGGTGCTCTCGGTGCAGGTCTGGGGGAGTGCATGCCTCTGTCCAGTGTCCCGCCCAGCTCACTCGCATCACTGGTTGCCAGGAGCAGGGCGGGATGCCAGCCAGAGTGTCCCAGGTTGCTAAGAGCTGTTTACAACCTTGGATGTTCTGGCCGAAAAGGGGGCAGCAGGCATACTTGTCACCCCCCATGTGGCCAAATTAGATGTGGCCTCAGGTTGCTTCATTATAAGGAACGGTGCTGATTAAGGGCCATCAAAACCACCAACCCCTATTGACTTCAATACAATTTGAATGGAAAAATACAATCAAGATGGAACACTGGAAATCCGTGTTGAATTTGAGTTTGATCCGAATCCTAATATCAGTGATCACTTGGCTGTTAACACATTCTGTACATTGACTTATGGCTACAAGTGACACTTGTAAACAGTGAGCTGGGTTTGCTCAGTGTGTTGGGCTTCTCATACAGAATCATGCAGGTTTAGTCTCAGTACTCCTGGTTGTCATGAGTGGTCATTGGGGTCCTCATATATGTCAAATGGTCTGTAAATGTCCCCCCACCCCCCCTCTCTAGGCTCTGCTCTGAATGACTCGCCTGCTGGGCTGGCTGCCTATATCCTGGAAAAGTTCTCCACCTGGACCAATCCGGACTATCGAGCCCTGGAGGATGGAGGACTGGACAGGTCAGAAACATAACAAACATTGTCATTATGGGACAGAAATCTTCTTCTGAACATAATATTTCTAAAGAAATAAACTTCAGGATTAATCATTTATAAATGTTTGTGTTGTAGGAAATACTCGTTGGATGACCTTCTCACCAATGTGATGATATATTGGGTGTCAGGCTCCATCACGTCTTCCATGAGGTTTTACAAAGAAAACTTCACCCGTGAATTCCAGTTTGGTCCATTTGCAAGGTATGTCCATTAAAAAATCCCTCAACAGCCAATCAAAGAAAGAAAAACAACCAATGAGAGGAACAGGGAAACAAAACACTCCGTGAAGTAAGTCAAACTAGAACTGAAGCCAAAACGTAATAGATTTGGATTGAATGAGGGAGTGTTATAACACCTGCCAGCTGTTTTTTTGCATTTGAGTTCCATTGGGGAAATTTCCCTTTACTTCCTGTCTGATAGGACAACACGAAGTAAGAGCAAATTCATCCAAAGAGAGGGAAATCTCTGCTGGTCAGCAGGGTCACCAGAACTAGTGTCCCAATTGGAAGATTCTGGTGACAGCCCAAAATGTTGGATTTTTCTTTCACGTTAGTGATAATAGTCACCAGGACAAATAGAGAGGGTGAGTATGCCTTACGTGGACCGCAATAAAAGCCTGACAGGTGCTCAAATCCGTCTGCACTTTATCCAGAGCTAAAAAAAAAAAAGTTCTGGCTCCCGTTGCACTTTAACTTTGTAAGAAATGGAACCCGTTGAGTAAAACTTTGTTGGTTGGAAGTCTTGAAATTTTTGACATCCACAGGCCGTAAAGAAATCCTTTGATGAAGACCTGAGCAATCAGGAAATAGTCTTGTTCAGTATTATAAGTGCACAATATAGAAAGCGCTTTGCTGGGTGGAGGAAACCTAGTATGGAGAGAGCTCTCCTGGATGGCAACATCTAGATGAGTTTTTGAAAGTCTGTTTTGTGGGATAAAAAGATGGAAGTTCTCGGAAGAGTTTTGGTTGAAATACAAAAGTAAAAAGTTCAGAATAATCTCAGTTCTGGAATTTATTTTAATTAGGAACCTTGTTACCTGCAGGTCATAATTAGGGATGCTCAGATACCAGTTCAGATACCAGTGCTGATACTTGGCATTTTCATGAGAACTGCCAGGGTTGCAGCGGTTGCAGCATGGTCCTGGCGCTCCACCACTGTCCTGAAATCATTATTTTAGAAAAACTTTCACATGACAATAAACAAAAATGTACCAGGACTTGTATCTGTGAGTACTTGGGCAAGTATCAGTAATAGTACTTGCAAAACTGGTATTGGTGCATCCCGAATATATATTTATAAAAACAAAATCATACATTAAAACAGAGATGTACAAATCCCGGGAGCTCCGTGTGCTCCTTACAAATGACAGCGGCCTCCTAACTTTTGAATTTTTCTCTAGTCTAGTCTTGGAGCTGGAAAAGTATCTGTACTTGTACCGAGTACGGTACTTGGTATCGGTGCATCCTTAGTCATAATAATAGATAATAAGAAACATAGACTTACTAATAGAGTAGCCCAAAAACTCAGACGAACCTTTCCTTTGCTTTCCTTCAGCTCAGAGCAAGGACCACATCACTGTAGCCAATGCCTCAGTTAATTTATTCATTCTCTTGAACCATCATCCTTGGACATGGTGTCCTCTTATGGAAGTCTTTCTCAACCTCTTGAACATGAAGGAACCCCTAAAATAACTTTTAGGTCTCAGGGAACCCCTGATAATTGTATATACAACTCATGGTACATTAACATTAACTTTTAAGCTGTATAAAATAAGAAAAAAGAATGTGACATTATTTATAGTATTTGACACCCAGGGTTGTTCTATACAGCCACATTTTTTTCAATAATAATAATAATAATGAAATGAAACAAATAATAATAATTGCCAGAAATGAAAAACAGGCAGTGAAAATAGGGCCCAATTACATTCGAGGTCAGTGGGAAGAATGTTCCTCACATTGATGTTCAGTGAGAAGAATGCCCCCTTTTACAGATAGCTAAAAAGACCATTGGTGTCAGTGGTTACTTAATCTAAGAGTAAAAAAAGTGCTGATTGGTCAAAGCAACCCCTAGCAACCTCTGGTGGAACCCCATGGTTCCATGTTACCCTGGTTAAGAATGGCTATCTTGGTGTTCAATGGGAGGAATGCCCCTTACATTGGAGGTCAATGCATACTATGTCCCTTACATTGTTGGTCAGTGGGAAGAATGTCCCTTAAATTGGGGGGCCAGTGGGAAGAATGTCCCTTATATTTGTGTTCAGTGGGAAGAATGTCCTTTTGCATTGGGGGTCAGTGGGAAGAATTCCCCTTACATTGGGGGTCAGTGGGAAGAATGCTCCTTTCATTGGGAAGAATGTCCCTTACATTGGGGGTCAGTGGGAAGAATGTCCCTTACATTGGATGTTCATTGGGAAGAATCCCCCCTTTGCAGATTGCTAAAAAGACCATTGGTGTCAGTGGTTACTTATCTGAGAGTGACAATGTGCTGATTGCTTAAAGGAGAACTATGGGGTCAGGGCTTTTTCCCATAGTTCTCCTTAGGGTTACGGGAGGACACAAACTAGCGTCCTCGCGTCAGCTCTGCATAAAGCAAAGCTAATGCCCCCCACGCTGATTGGAGAGCTCTGACACTGACTCCGGAGGGGGCACGTTGGATGTCTGAAGTTTCACTTGGGCTTTAAGACACTTTATTTTGTATTAGTCAGGTATTGCACCATGTGACACAGATGTTTTTGTTTTTGCAGGACCCCTGTGTATGTTCCCACCGGCATTGCTGCGTTCCCACATGAGCTGATGCACAACCCCAAGATCTGGGTCAAAGAGAGACACAAAAACATTGTCAACTACAACTACATGCCCCGCGGAGGGCACTTTGCTGCCTTCGAGGAGCCCGAACTGCTGGCCCGCGACATCCAGAACTTGAACTGCCAGGGTTGCAGCGGTTGCAGCATGGTCCTGGCGCTCCACCACTGTCCTGAAATCATTATTTTAGAAAAACTTTCACATGACAATAAACAAAAATGTACCAGGACTTGTATCTGTGAGTACTTGGGCAAGTATCAGTAATAGTACTTGCAAAACTGGTATTGGTGCATCCCGAATATATATTTATAAAAACAAAATCATACATTAAAACAGAGATGTACAAATCCCGGGAGCTCCGTGTGCTCCTTACAAATGACAGCGGCCTCCTAACTTTTGAATTTTTCTCTAGTCTAGTCTTGGAGCTGGAAAAGTATCTGTACTTGTACCGAGTACGGTACTTGGTATCGGTGCATCCTTAGTCATAATAATAGATAATAAGAAACATAGACTTACTAATAGAGTAGCCCAAAAACTCAGACGAACCTTTCCTTTGCTTTCCTTCAGCTCAGAGCAAGGACCACATCACTGTAGCCAATGCCTCAGTTAATTTATTCATTCTCTTGAACCATCATCCTTGGACATGGTGTCCTCTTATGGAAGTCTTTCTCAACCTCTTGAACATGAAGGAACCCCTAAAATAACTTTTAGGTCTCAGGGAACCCCTGATAATTGTATATACAACTCATGGTACATTAACATTAACTTTTAAGCTGTATAAAATAAGAAAAAAGAATGTGACATTATTTATAGTATTTGAGACCCAGGGTTGTTCTATACAGCCACATTTTTTTCAATAATAATAATAATAATGAAATGAAACAAATAATAATAATTGCCAGAAATGAAAAACAGGCAGTGAAAATAGGGCCCAATTACATTCGAGGTCAGTGGGAAGAATGTTCCTCACATTGATGTTCAGTGAGAAGAATGCCCCCTTTTACAGATAGCTAAAAAGACCATTGGTGTCAGTGGTTACTTAATCTAAGAGTAAAAAAAGTGCTGATTGGTCAAAGCAACCCCTAGCAACCTCTGGTGGAACCCCATGGTTCCATGTTACCCTGGTTAAGAATGGCTATCTTGGTGTTCAATGGGAGGAATGCCCCTTACATTGGAGGTCAATGCATACTATGTCCATTACATTGTTGGTCAGTGGGAAGAATGTCCCGTACTCCTTAAATTGGGGGGCCAGTGGGAAGAATGTCCCTTATATTTGTGTTCAGTGGGAAGAATGTCCTTTTGCATTGGGGGTCAGTGGGAAGAATTCCCCTTACATTGGGGGTCAGTGGGAAGAATGCTCCTTTCATTGGGAAGAATGTCCCTTACATTGGGGGTCAGTGGGAAGAATGTCCCTTACATTGGGGGTCAGTGGGAAGAATGTCCCTTACATTGGATGTTCATTGGGAAGAATCCCCCCTTTGCAGATTGCTAAAAAGACCATTGGTGTCAGTGGTTACTTATCTGAGAGTGACAATGTGCTGATTGCTTAAAGGAGAACTATGGGGTCAGGGCTTTTTCCCATAGTTCTCCTTAGGGTTACGGGAGGACACAAACTAGCGTCCTCGCGTCAGCTCTGCATAAAGCAAAGCTAATGCCCCCCACGCTGATTGGAGAGCTCTGACACTGACTCCGGAGGGGGCACGTTGGATGTCTGAAGTTTTGCTTGGGCTTTTAGACACTTTATTTTGTATTAGTCAGGTATTGCACCATGTGACACAGATGTTTTTGTTTTTGCAGGACCCCTGTGTATGTTCCCACCGGCATTGCTGCGTTCCCACATGAGCTGATGCACAACCCCAAGATCTGGGTCAAAGAGAGACACAAAAACATTGTCAACTACAACTACATGCCCCGCGGAGGGCACTTTGCTGCCTTCGAGGAGCCCGAACTGCTGGCCCGCGACATCCAGAACTTTGTGTCTAAGGTGGAAAAAAATGCTAAATAAAGTACAGGACCCGTCACGCTACATGTGCTGCCCAACACACTACTCTGTATATATCACCTCGTGTCCCTGCTCCTAATCTGGGGAAATGCAACACAAAATGCTGAAATAAAGGCTCTAAGCTACAGCTAAATACTGAACTCCATGCAGACAAAATGCTGTGTACGTTCCTGAATTCATTTTGCTATCAGTCTCATGCAGTCCCTGTACAGCAGAGCTCAGACTGTGGGAGGGAGAAGCAGCACAGTTCAGTTTCTGCTGCAATGCAATGCACAGAAATCAGTTTCTGCCGTAATGCCAGGAGCATGCTGACAGGAGGAAAGAGATAAGTGAGAAGAGAGATGAGCCTACACAGCAGTCTATTGCTTCCCCTTTTACTGTCTTCTCACAGGTGGAGAGTGGAGAGGTGATGCCACCGTCTTCCTTAGGTTGTGTCACCTACCTGGCTGTACTGTGTGGTTGAGCTGTATAAATCTGGGGACGGGATGAACATAAATACACTTGGCACCTGAACAATGCCTGCATCCAATCAGATTGTTCAGGTATTTTGACAGCCAGCGAGGCCGACTAGCAAGATACTGAAGCTTGGCCCAGCGGGAGATTCCTCCATACACACAGTTTAGCGTAGATGAAGTAGATGGAGGAATCTGTTGCACTTGTTCCATCTGACCATAGAAAATCTGCAGATAATTGTAAGGTGTGTGGCCAGCTGTAGGTTGTCATGGGGGACCCCAGTATTAGATAGTCGGCCATAGGTGACCCCAGTGTTAGGCTGTCATGGGAGAGCTGGTATTAGGAAGGCTGTCATAGGAGACCAGTATTAGACAGGCTGTCATAGGAGACCAGTATTAGACAGGCTGTCATAGGAGACCCCAGTATTAGACAGACTGTCATATGAGACCCCAGTACTAGAAAGGCTTTCATAGGAGACCCCTGTATTAGACAGACTGTCATAGGAGACCCCAGCATTAGACAGGCTGTCATAGGAGACCCCAGTATTAGACAGACTATAATGAGAGACCCCGGTATAAGACAGGCTTTCATAGGAGACCCCAGTATTAGACAGACTGTCATATGAGACCCCAGTACTAGAAAGGCTTTCATAGGAGACCCCAGTATTAGACAGACTGTAATGAGAGACCCCAGTATTAGACAGACTTTCATAGTAGACCCCAGTATTAGACAGACTGTCATAGGAGACCCCAGTATTAGACAGACTTTCATAGTAGACCCCAGTATTAGACAGACTTTCATAGTAGACCCCAGTATTAGACAGGCTGTCATAGGAGACCCCAGTATTAGACTGCCAATTGCGAGACACCTTCATGTGATCCTGGTCATTTTTTGTGTGATGAGATGTCTGGAACGATCTGACAGGTTAAACAGATCTGCGGCGATCCATGCTCTCCTATCCATAAATGAAGCCTGCTGATACCATGATACCACAAACATGAATAGTATTGATTTGGTGGCCATGTTCTTGGGGTGAGGGTGTGCCCTTGGGGGACACTGGTGTATGGTGTAGACGGGGTGAACTTTACATGGAACTGTGGAAGCATTGGTGATGAAAAGTTTGCTGGGATTTGAACACACTTTTATTTATGCTTCTTTTTGGTTTTACCGACTGTGGGGGAAATAAGTCTCTAGGATTATTTTTTAAGGTAGAAAATATATGCAGTATATCTCTGCAATACGTGCCCATTTCCCCCCCTTCTGCAAGTACAGAAAAAGTCCTGTTGATCTTCGAAAAGTGCACTCAGATGCTAAGCCCTATTGTTCTGTGACAACACACAGCATTGTTGTGGATCGAGTGGTGTCAGCCCTGTCCATTGTCTTTTGCTAAACTACTCAACCACTCCTTCTCCTCCTCCTTCTGCTCCTATCTCTAAAGCATAAAGACTAATTATTATGTGGTCCAAGAGGAGAACTAGGAGAGCTATTTGATTTAAGGTTACACAGGAAGTGTGCAGAGGACACAGGACGGATATGAATTTCAGACAAGGTCAACTGATCTTTTTTTGTACTTATAATAAATATGACAAAACACTTTGAATGGTATATTAAACAGCGCAAAAGGGAGCAAATAAGGAAAATTAATTGTTAGGGTTTACGTACGCTTCAGTTTGCTGGATATAGATTTAATGGAGGACAAGAGTGCAGAATTGGGGATATATACATATACAGGTGAAACTCGAATAATTAGAATATCGTGCAAAAGTAATGGCAGTAAGTGCTGCAAAAGGGGCCCAAACCAAGTACTGAGTACATATGCATGCTTGTACTTTTCAGAGGTCCGATATTGTTCTATGTACAATCCTTGTTTTATTGATTGCATGTAATAATCTACTTTTCTGAGATTGTGGATTTGGGGTTCTTGGGGTTTTCATGAGCTGTAAGCCATAATCATCACAATGATGACAAATCACGGCTTGAATTATCTTGCTTTGCATGTAATGAGTCTATCTCATATATTAGTTTCACCTTATAAGTTGCATTAGTGAAATAAATGAACTTTGCACAATATTCTAATTATTCGAGTTTCACCTGTATAATATCAAACATGTATTGCATAAAACAATTGAAAGTGACTATTACAGAATACTGTGATTCCTCCATATAATAAGTCAGAATTTTGGAACCCATCTGACTGTTTTCATCTTCAGTTTTATCCCTCATTTGGATCCTGGAAGTGTTTGGGGAAGGACACAGAGAGAATCCAGTGGCAGCCCCCTAATAGAGGCGACATGGTTACAACGGTTGCCCATTCCCAGAGAGAGATTGAAGCTGCTACCAGAAACCAACAAACTGCTGAGTGAGTGCTCCCATCTGGTCCTGAGGAATAGTGTTCTGTACCCCAAAATAATGTTCCCTCATGGCTCCTCAGTGACCTGGGGCAGTGGCGGACCTAATAACCAAAGGGCCCTGGTGCAAGATTTTATCTTGGGCCCCCCTCCCAAGACAGGGGGCGCGGGAGCTGATCACACTGGCCCCCGCTTCCCCCCCCACCCAGCGGTCTCTAATGTTGCAGCAGCGTGCTGGACTTACCTGAGACCCTGCAGAGCACACCATAGATCCTGCATAGCCCACCTGAGACTTTATCGTGGACTCTGCAGGGTCTCAGGTGATATGGTCGTCAGGATCCCTTTCCATGTACCTCCTCCCAACTCTTCTTACCTGCTGCGGCTGGGGCCCGGCCTCCTCCACCCCCTCCCCTGTCACCTCTGCCATGCCGCCCCGGTAAAGTTGATACCCCATGTAAGAGGCCCCCCAGACCCCTCACATGGGTACCGGCCATAACCCCCTGATGGCGGTGTTCTATCAAAGGTTGTGACTACATTAGAATGTGTGACCGGTGACATGGTCACACGTTTTTAACGTAATCCCACCCAGTTTTTCGGCGGTGAAATGTGTGACTTACACACACGCCTCCTGTGACTCACCTCCCCTCACGCCGCCTGTTACTATCGACGCGGCCGGGAGGGGAGGTGAGTTACAGGACCCGCCCCTCACTGAGAAGCCCGATGGCTGTGCGGGGCCCCGGTGTTCGAACACCGGACCGTGCACTGCCAAAAAAATCAGGCCTGGACCCCACTGAGGCTGTTGGGGAGCCCACTGGGCCCCCCCAAAGCCACAGGCCCCGGTCCCCCGGCTGCACCGGCGGTAGTTCCGCCACTGACCTGGGGGGTCGTACTGTCAATGGTCTGGGTCCTCTCTGTGGCAGAAAGAATCCACATGGAATTAGGACATCGGGGTGTCTCCAAAACATTTACCTGGTTCAAGAGGCAAGCCATGTGCTCAGGGCTGTTCCAGTTGGCTAAACAAGTTTGCCAACCTGTGTAGTCTGTTCATTAATGTAGAGAAGCTGAGGCCTGGGTTCCACCTCTGGCTTGGCACAAGCCTACCCATTGGAAGTACAAACCATCAACTTTTTTACACTTGACATGTCTGAAGACTGATACCATGAAGGTCTAAAAAGAAATACCGAACTCCATAGATCCACCGGACATTACATAGTGTCCTTACATCCCGGTCACACTAGTCTTCCCGGTCCTTACACTGCCCATCAAGTGAGGGGAGAATGTGGATGAGCTCAGTACCTGCACCTTTGATAAAGGAAGTGGAACCGATGTGGGAACTGGAGCGGTGATATGGTCCTTCTGAAGCTGCACCATCAAGGTCTAGTTATGGTGGACCACTTTACCAAGTTTGCAGCATTGAAGTAAAAATTAGATCTTGTGAGATTTATAGAACCAAATGAGAAACATTCAGATATGACGAATGTCAGCTGTTTATGATGAATACATTATATGGCCAAGCGATTGAGTTGAGGGGTCTCCAGTGAAGAGTACTCCTAATACTACATCATACAAAGACATTTTAGACAATTGTGCTCTTACAACCTTGGCGAAGCACCATTTCTGTTTCACCATGACTGTGCACAAAGCCAGCTCTATGGGTTTCAAGACACGGGTTGACCAGTTTGGTGTGGAGGAACTCAAGTGTCCCGCACAGAGCCTTCAACCCTACTGAACACCACTGAGATGAATTGGAACACCCATTGTGAGCAATGTCTTCTCATCCATCCAACCAGGGGCGTAACTAGAAATCACAGGGCCCCATAGCAAAATTTTGTATGGGGCCCAGTGATTGCTAGTTATACCCACCTGATAACCCAAACAGCCCACCTAAGGGTGACCCTGCAGAGCCCACCATAGACTCTCTATGGTAGGCTCTGCAGGGTCTCAGGTGGGCGGTCAAGCCCTCTTACCTGTCAGCCCTGATCCTCTGTCCACCTCCTTCTCCTCCACGATCGACTCCTCCGTCACTGGGCCCCACCTCCTCGATCGACGGGCCCCGCCTCCTCGATCGCCGCCGATGACGGGCCCAGCCACCTCCTGCGAAGCTGCTAGTTGTCACCAACTCAGCAGCGGCTGTGAAAAGGAACGGAGCGTTCCTCCTCACAGCCGCCAGTGACAGCCAGCAGCCTGGCTGTCCGAGCAAGATGCCATAGCGACCCAGGCGGCCCGCATGGCATCAGGGAGATGTCCTGGCCGGTCCCCGCCGTGCCTCGGGCCCCATAGCGGCCGCCTGGGTCGCTATGGTGATTGTTACGCCACTGCATCCAACATCAGTACCTGACCTCACAAATGGACACAAATTCCCACATACACACTCCAAAATCTTGTGCAAAGCCTTCCCAGAAGAGTGGAGGATGTTACAGTCTCAAAGGAGGAAAACTCCATATTAATGGTCGGGGTACATAAACCTGTGCCCATTTACCAGCATGCTGGTAATTCTCTATAATAAAGGGACAACACAGAGAGGAGAGTCTGCAGGTCATGGTGTGAATCTCTGAGGTTTCCCCTGCACTTGGCTGGCTCTGATATATATAATGTGTACAGAGGAGGAGCCGTGTGCTTTGTCTGCACTGTGACCGCGCAAAGTTCAGCCGGAGCAGAAGAGGCCGGAAGATGTGGAGACAACTGCTGGATAATGGCAGGTGAGGGGTGACTGCGAGCTGCATACACTTCTGTCACTGGGTCATCAATGTATATACTACAAACTGCACAACATGAGAGTCTTTATTACAGCTCACAGAGGAGCTCAGGACAAGAATAGGTTTTATGTAGGACATGGTGACATCTAACAGCCTCATATAACAGCTTATAGGGCACATTGTGAGCATATAAGAGAGAGTCCAGGGGTGCATTCCCATTTATTGCACAGCATATGGAGTCATGTGACCCAGATTACATTATACAGGAGTGACATCACCGCTCTCCAGATATAAGGTATATTATACAGGAGGGACATCACCGCTCTCCAGATATGTTATATTATACAGGAGGTACATCACCGCTCTCCAGATGTAAGGTATATTATACAGGAGTGACATCACCGCTCTACAGATATAAGGTATATTATACAGGAGGGACATCACCGCTCTCCAGATATAAGGTATATTATACAGGAGGGACATCACCGCTCTCCAGATATGTTATATTATACAGGAGGGACATCACCGCTCTCCAGATATAAGGTATATTATACAGGAGGGACATCACCGCTCTCCAGATATAAGATATATTGTTCAGCATAAGATGACAATGATTCTAATAAACACTATTTGGTTGCTTCTAAGCACATCAAATGTATTGGAGATTAATGTCAACATAGAGAGAAAAAGAAGAAATGTCCTTTTGTTCTGACTGGATTCCAGTGTGCACCCGGCCGAAATATTCAGTGAAGAAGAAGACCACAGTAACACATCCATCAGCCTCTGCATGGGGCTGTAAGGTTGTGTGTGATGTATATTAAAAAAAGTAACATAGTAGCCACGTGCATTTCGTCTGAACTGACATTCGGGCAAAAATCGGCAAATTTCGAGATTCAGATGCATCCGAATTTCCGAATGGGGAAAAATAACGAATTTGAACGTTTCCAAATTTTATCCGAATGTCTTCCGGAATGAACTGATATGTCGGTAAATGTGAAAATCGGGAAAAAAAACCAAAACAGTGTGGGGTCCCATCCCCCCAAATTCATACCAGACCCTTTAGGTAGGAATTTTAGAGGCCAAAAAGAAAAAAGCTGCGCCTCTCTGTTTCCATTCAGGAGTGGAGGTGACATTAGCGGCGAGTGTTCGGCGAGTGCAGAGGAGGGAGAAGGGGACTTTTTCTTTTGTCGGGTTGGCGGGCGGTGGGCATCGTGATTGACGATGGATCTACATTGCTGGACGATGTGATTTACATCATGGGACATTTTTATGTGTGTGGTGTGGTGCGTTTATTTACTATCTTAATGTTTTTTTGGTGAATGAGAAGGGGTAACAACTAACCCTTACTCATTCACGAGTGGGCAACATCTGGGTGCCCCCTTCATGAAAGTTGGCACCCAGATTCAGATAAGCCCCCCCTGCCCCCAGACCCTCAGAACCACCGGGCCAGGGTTGTGTAGAAAAAGCCCCTGTCCTCATCAACATGGGAATCCTGATGATTTTATTTTTTTCTGTTTTATTATAGTATTTTTTTAATATTGTTTATATTATTAAATTGTATTATTATGTTTTATTATATTAGTAACATATATCACGCGCACGCTCGCACGCGCACGCACTCTTATACAGCACATTTGCAGTGGCTCATTGACGTGTTACTTTGTTACACTTTATTTAATACACATGACACACATAAGTATGATCATCGTATGTCTGTATATCCTCACACATGTATGTTCACATAACCTGCTGGGGCACATAGCGGAGCGTGTTGGGTGACACGGGTCATACGGGGAATGAGAAGCTGTGATTGGAGAAGGTAGAAGCACATTGAGGAATATAAAACCTTTGTGTGTCTGTAATCACGGATTAAATAATTCAGATCGCCGGCGGTGACGGATCGCACCGTTTGATTCAGACGGCGAGAGAACGGCGTCATATTCCATCCACGAGGAAACATTACACTAATACCATCAATGGCGTCTCTCTATAATCCCCATTATTGGATTATGCTCCTTCCAGCTCTATCAGGTTATAAAGCTGGGGCAGATATAAAAGACGCAAATTAATTCAGTTCTGTATTCATTAATATTTCATTAAATGCATTAACGCAAGCAGTGTAAGTACCTGGATTTGCCCTGTTATCAGCCTCTTGCAGTCCATTTACAGCAAAGCTCAGAGTGGGGGAGTGGGGGAGGGGGGAGCAGAACAAGGAGACTATCATTTGTACGGCAGTGCTTATGAGCTGACAAAGGACGCGCTGATAGTAAGAGACAGCAGAGTGACACAGAGATGAGCTCATCAGTCTGCTGCTTCTCCTTTCACTGTATAATCACTCTAGATCTCGATCTGTGTGTTAGAGTTGTGTAAATGCCAGGAGTGGATGGGCAGAAATGCAAATCCTTTGCAGTATATGGGAGCAGATAAAACAGCTCCCATATACTGTATATCTTCATCTGTGTATTTCACTGTTTTCCTTGAATATTCTGGGACCCGGACCAGACTGTAATGTCATTCTATACCAAAGCATCACACCAGATCACAGGTGCCCAACATGGAGCCCGCTTATGCTAAGTATGAAGCCCTCGGTGCTCCAGAACACAATTCAGGGGCTGCACACTGAGTTCCCGTGGACCTGGTGGGCTGTCAGTGACAGCAATGGTCCAGGACTAAGCCCCATCGGCTCCTGGGATTGTTAACCTGCTATGGGGCTTGTGTTGATGGGATCACTTTAAATGGGTTTTGGATGCCCATACAGTCAGGTTCAGACCGGGGCACATGACTGTCCTCACCGGAAAGTTAATATTTAACCATAAGTAGGTGAGGCGTGACCGCGGCTCCGCCAGAGTGCAAAGTGTAAAGTGAAAATAAATAATCCTCTTGGTAATAAGGGCGAAAACCGCCAATAATCCGACCAATGGCCGCTCAACGATTCATAATCCACTTCTCTGATCCAAGATCTGCTACAGCGGTGGGCTTTGGTCAAAGCTTCTACCTCCATTCACTCCCCCTGAAGAAAAGAGACTCCTTTAAATAATTATAACTTCCTTTAAAAATGCAGATAGCGCAAGTACCTGAATGTGGCTTCATACTAGCTTCCTGTACTCCCCTGCACAGTTGCACTCAGACTGGGAAGGTAGGGGAGCCAGGAGTCTCTCCTGTTTAAAGTAGTTGTGTGGACAGGATGAGTAGGCAGAGGGAGGACTCATTAGTGTTTTGCTGCTCCTTCAGTGTCCAATCGTCAGGTTGGGAAGGGAGAAGTGTTTCTGACCAAGCTGTAGTCACAGCACAGTGGAGCCTTAAAAACCACCTAAAACCACCTAAAACCACCATTAACCGCCATAATTTTGCCCTACACATTGACTCCATAGCATTTCACCTATAGGGTGAACCCGTGCCAAGAATATGCAAATTTCTTTGGAAATTGTGCAGTTTTGCTCATCTGTAGTCAGCAGCAGAATTAATACAATTCAGTGTCATTTTGGACCAGTATCCATCCTTACTCCAACCGGTGGGGGGGAACTTCTTCTGCTGAGACATATACATTAAAAGAGATATTTTACACTTTTACGTTGGTGCAGAAATTGAAGATTTCTTCTCCTATTTTATGCTGAGGGTGTAGGCAGTTTGGGAAAATATTTGGATGAGGTGCACAATCTGTTGTGTTTCCATTGTAGATGACAATTCTGGATTCTCTCTTTGCAGGGAGGCCCTTTGCACTCGATGGCCTCACAGTCTGCTGGTCCCGGCCACAGCTCTAGGTGTGGGGGGTGCGCTGCTCTGCTGGAAGCTGCACAACAGGAAGGTGAAATCCATTGAGCTGGGAGAAGGATGGTGGGGCCCTGGGGAGAGACCCCACTTACTGAGTGAGGACACCAGTGTTAGACCATTCATCATCGAGGCCTCCAAAGAAGAGATTGAGGTATCAATGTGCAAGAAAAGTACCTAAAAATGTAATGATGGTATATACTGAGACCACAGTATACGGTCTATGTGTCATTGTAACTGTTTAAAAGATTCTGAGATCCTTACGAGGGAGGGACTCTCCATGCTGGTTTATTTTATATTGTGGAAAACAATAGGAAGAGTGGGGACATCGTAAGTTGACCGGGAACATCCAACAGATCAAGGTGGGTGGGAATATCCAACAGGCCAAGGTGAATGGAAAGACTGAACAGACCATGGTTGGAGAGGACACCCAACAGAAAAGATGGATTGAACCAACCAAAAGAACAAGGAGGGGGAGGACAATTAACAGACTAAGGTGAGTGGGAACATTCAACAGACCAAAGGTGGGCAGGAACACCCAACAGACCTAGGTGGGCAGGAACACCCAACAGATCAAAGTGGCAAAAGGGAACCCAACACTTCAAGGTGGGCGGGAACATTCTAAAGACCATGGTAGGCAGGAACACCCATCAAACTTAGGTAGGCAGGAACATTCAACAGACCAAGGTTGGTGGGAAATCAAAAGACCATGCTGGGCAGGTACACCCAACAGACCTAGGTGGGCAGGAACACCCAACAGACCAAAGTGACAAAAGGAAACCCAACACTTCAAGGTGGACAGGAACATCCTAAAGACCAAGGTGGGCAGGAACACCCATCAAACTAAGGTAGGCAGGAACATTCAACAAACCAAGGCTGGTCTGAGACTGAGCCAGGAAGTATGGAAGGGAGATCTTCCTAATGGGGTCTCCAAGATCTAAGAAGCGAAGAGGGTGATACAATAAAGCGGATTCCTCCCATAACTAAAACATCACTTTCACAATCTTTTTAAAGGTGTTTTCCTCATCAGTTAAATTGTTTCTTCACATTAGTGTGCAGTGTGTACTATCCCCTGAGCATTTGCAGCAGGTCCATGGAGTACAGAGGTGGGAGGAACTGTAGAGAAGGGGTGGAGTGAAAACATTTACTAGTGAAATGTATTTTTTTTATCTCTTGACTATGTGTGCGTTGGAGAGGGCAATATGTTCCAATTGTGTTTCCAGGACCTCCATGAACGTCTTGACCGCACGCGGCTCTTTTCACCTCTGGAGGACTCCAGATTTCACTACGGGTTTAACTCTACCCAGCTGAAGAAAGTTATTTCATATTGGAGGAATGAGTTCGACTGGCAGAAGCAAGTGAAGATCCTCAACCGATACCCCCATTATAAGACCACTATAGAAGGTATCCTGGGCCTTGTTCAGTGACAGTTGAATCAACAAAGGGACCATTTTCCATTTGCTTGTATATATTGTGTTACCCTCCATGGGAAACTTTTAAGGATTTCTTAACATCTTTCTCTTTGATGCTTATAAGTTTTTAAACTAATATTTTATATATTTTTGTAGCTACTTTATTAAATAATTATTTAAGCACAGTTGAATTCACACAAACATTACCTCCACTTCCCTGTTACAGAAGTTCCCCTCCATCCTTTGATGATAAATCATCCTTCCTCCCCAACGTCTGGAGGTGCACTTCATCCATTGATGGGTCTTCCCAGCACAGAAGTAGTATATTCACTAATGTAATAAATCGTCCTCCCTCCCTAAGTTCTGCTGGTACACTTCACCCATTGATGGGTCTTCCCAGGACAAAAGTATTATACTCACCAATATAATAAATCAACCTACGTTCTGAAGGTCTGGAGGTGCACTTCATCCATTGATGGGTCTTCCCAATATGGAGTAGTATATTCACCAATATAATAAGTCGTCCTTCCACCCTAAGGTCTGGAGGTGCACTTCATCCATTGATGGGTCTTCCCAGTATAGAAGTAGTATATTCACCAATATAATAAGTCGTCCTTCCTCCCTAAGGTCTGGAGGTGCACTTCATCCATTGATGGGTTCTCCCAGCACAGAAGTAGTATATTCACTAATATAATAAATCGTCCTCCCTCCCAAAGGTCTGCTGGTACACTTCACCCATTGATGGTTCTTCCAGGACAGAAGTAGTATACTCACCAATATAATAAATCACCTACCTTCTGAAGGTCTGCTGGTACACTTCACCCATTGATGGTTCTTCCCAGGATAGAAGTAGTATACTCACCAATATAATAAGTCACCCTACCTTCTGAAGGTCTGGAGGTGCACTTCATCCATTGATGGGTCTTCCCAGTATAAAGTAGTATATTCACCAATATAATAAGTCGTCCTTCCACCCTAAGGTCTGGAGGTGCACTTCATCCATTGATGGGTCTTCCCAGTATAGAAGTAGTATATTCACCAATATAATAAATCATCCTACCTTCTGAAGGTCTGGAGGTGCACTTCATCCATTGATGGGTCTTCCCAGCACAGAAGTAGTATACTCACCAATATAATAAGTCGTCCTTCCTCCCTAAGGTCTGGAGGTGCACTTCATCCATTGATGGGTTCTCCCAGCACAGAAGTAGTATATTCACTAATATAATAAATCGTCCTCCCTCCCAAAGGTCTGCTGGTACACTTCACCCATTGATGGTTCTTCCAGGACAGAAGTAGTATACTCACCAATATAATAAATCACCTACCTTCTGAAGGTCTGCTGGTACACTTCACCCATTGATGGTTCTTCCCAGGATAGAAGTAGTATACTCACCAATATAATAAGTCACCCTACCTTCTGAAGGTCTGGAGGTGCACTTCATCCATTGATGGGTCTTCCCAGTATAAAGTAGTATATTCACCAATATAATAAGTCGTCCTTCCACCCTAAGGTCTGGAGGTGCACTTCATCCATTGATGGGTCTTCCCAGTATAGAAGTAGTATATTCACCAATATAATAAATCATCCTACCTTCTGAAGGTCTGGAGGTGCACTTCATCCATTGATGGGTCTTCCCAGTATAGAAGTAGTATATTCACCAATATAATAAATCATCCTACCTTCTGAAGGTCTGGAGGTGCACTTCATCCATTGATGGGTTCTCCCAGCACAGAAGTAGTATATTCACTAATATAAAAAAGTATCCCCTTCACCCAAAGGTCTTGAGGTGCAATTCATCCATTGATGGATTCTTCCATCTCAGAAGTAGTAAATTCACCAATATACCTCCCGGAGATCTTGAGGTGCACTTTATCCATTGATGGTTTCTTCCAGGACAGAAGTAGTATTTTCAACAATATAAAAAAATGTCATTCCTTCTGAAGGTCTGCAGGTGCACTTCATCCATTGCTGGGTCCTTCCTGCACAGAAGTAGCATATTCTACAATATAATAAATCATAGTTCCTCCTGTGGGTCTGGTGGTGTACTTCATCCATTGATGGGTCCTTTCCACACAGAAGTAGTATATTCACCAACATAATATAGCCTCCTTCCCCCGCAGTTCTGGAGGTGTACTTCATCCATTGATGGGTTCCTTCAGCACAGTAGTATATTCATCAAGATAACAAATCTTCCTTCCTCCCACAGGTCTGGAGGTGCATTTCCTCCATGTGAAGCCCCCACAAGTGTCCTCCAGACAAAAAGTTCTTCCCTTGCTGATGGTCCACGGCTGGCCAGGATCCTTTTATGAGTTTTATAAGATAATTCCGCTTCTGACAGACCCAGGGAAGCATGGCTTGGACCCCAACATTGTCTTTGAGGTCATCTGTCCATCTATCCCGGGATATGGCTTCTCAGAGGCATCACACAAGAAAGGTGAGGGGCGGGTGTGCGGTTAACAATGGACGATGCATCATTTTTGTCACTTTGTCATTTTTGTTGGGTGAAACATTTAGGTTATTGAAGTGTATCTAAAGGCAAATGTTTTCCGTTAGTTTTGTGTGCAGAGATGGAAAAATTTATTTTCTTTGTGATTTGTGTCCTATGTAGGAGATTTTCCTGCACTTCCTGTCTCAAGATACAAAAGGAAGTGAGAGGAGATCTCTCCAAAGTGAGGAAATATACCCTCTTAGGTCTTTTACACCTGTCCAGATTGGTGTGTTGTATGGTGGTGTAGTGTATGGTACAACCTGCATTGTACTGCATGTTAACACAACAAGTTACCACTTGAACCATGGTGCCTCTGCAGTAATGAATATGCATTGACACAACACATAGACTGAATGGGCCCTAATTAGGGTTGCCACCTGTCCAGGATTCACCCGGGCAGTTCGGGTTTTGAATGCTGTGTCCGGGTTTCATGGCAGCTGAAACCCGGACACAAGATGTCCTGCAGATAGGGGCAACCAAAATTAAGATAGGGGCTACTGGCCCCCCACTGAAAATAGTCTAAACTGTGATATTTACATAAGAATGGACAGCGCTATTTTATATGAATAAGCCACGACTCATTCTCCCAAAAAAAAAATTCAGTGCGTTGCTAGAGTGTTCGGGTTTCGTTAGAAGAAAAGGTGGCAACCCTAGCCCTAATACCGCTGTTAGGTACTTCTAGTACAAGGTCAGGTGATTTGCTTCAAGTATATCTAAAGCCTTAACTTTTTTAGTTTTATAGGGTATGTCTTGGAAGTTTGAATGTGGTTCAGAGAGGGGAAGTTACACAGTGACCCTGTGAGGTGCTCCTTGCCATCTGTGGATTACAGAGAATTCAGATTAAAGGGACCCTGTAGGAAAAGAAGTTCTGCCGCGTCGCATAGTGATCTGTGTCTGAGAATATTAGTTGTCTGTCTGCACAGTGGTTTCTCTGTTGGTTGATATCATGAAGTTACTTTTGTCCATAAAACAGGATTCACGGCCTTAGCTGCGGCCCGGATATTCTACAAGCTGATGCTTCGACTTGGATTCAAAGAATTCTACACGCAGGGTGGAGACTGGGGCAGCAGAATCACCACGCTCCTATCTCAGATGAAGCCGGAGTAAGTATGTGGCTCACAGCAATCCAGAAGTGTCTTCAGTTCCTCCATTTCTTCTGGCAAATGCCATTTTTGTCAGACCGCCAGTCCAGGCCTAGTGAAATACAGTTTTCTCTGTTCTGTCAATCATTCTATATTGTGTGTCTGCGTCCTCCCTGCAGGTCAGTAAAGGGCCTCCACCTCAATTTCGTGATGCTCCCGTTTGGAGGACTGCGGAGGCTGAAATCCCTGATTATCGGCCGCTACGCTCCCTGGCTTGTGGGTCTGACGCGGGAAGACGCCAGGCGTATATATCCATACATGGAGAAGAATGTGTTCGCCATTGTCCTGGAGAGCGGGTACCTCCACATACAGGCCACCAAACCGGACACTGTCGGTAAGAATCTCCAAAAGCCCCCCCCCCCAAAAAAAAATTCACAATCCCTGGGAACAGTTTCATTGTAGTAGATGAAGTGTGAATGTTTGCTGAATAATCAGTCTGTGTCCTCACAGGGACATGAGATCATTCAGGTTTATTCGACTAGACAATTATTATTGTGTACAGCCTGAACAGTTGTAAAAATAACTTTTATTATGTCCTTCAAGAGACTCTGTCAGGTTGTAAATGGAAGGCAGCCAGAAGTCCCCTGTACTAGAAGAGGTATTACACTCCAATCTCCAGTGTCCCGTGCCTCCTACCTTGCCTCCATTCCCGGTAATAGAAGAGGTATTACACGCCTATCTCCAGTGTCCCGTGTCTCCTACCTCCCCTCCATTCCCTGAAATAGAAGAAAGGTTATACTCGCCGCTCTAGTGTCCCGTGTCTCCTACCTCCCTCTGTTCTCTGTATTATACCCCCCTCTCTGGTGTCCCATGTCTCCTACCTCCCCTCCATTCCCTGTAATAGAAGAGGTATTATACTCCCCTCTCTGGTGTCCCATGTTATTTATTATTGTTCAGCCAAATGTTAACTAAAGGATTTTCATATCTTCCCAGCTGTTCAGTTCCATCCCTTTCTACCTTTCTTGAGGGATCAGGTCTAGCTTAGCCGTATTCATTATCCAATGTATTGGCTTTTGCTGTCCCTTTGTCTCAATTTTTTCATGGGATTCAATAACTCTCACACAAAACCATAACAACCCAACACATTTCAACACCTTTTGTGGCTTCATCAGAGGTCAAATATTCATCTAAAAACAAATGTGCACCATATGCAAAGAGTTAAAAACAAAGTGTGCACGTGTGTCATTGACTTGAACTGGCCACATAGGGATGTAGAGGATTTCTACTTCAAATGTATGTTGCTGCAGGAAAACTTGGTGGGATTTTGTGGTCAGTTCCTGGCTGTATGCCCTGTGTAATGATGCTGGACTATCTATTGTACCCCATGAACTTGTGTCAGATGCCCCTCTGGGGCCGGTTCTGCTTCTCACGGGACTCTCCTCTCTTGCAGGTTCTGCTCTGAACGACTCTCCAGCTGGACTCGCGGCCTACATCCTGGAGAAGTTTTCCACCTGGACAGACAATGCGTTCCGCGATCTAGAAGATGGCGGCCTAACCAGGTGAGCGACAACATGTCAGGACCAGAACTCGAAGGCATCACACATGGCATGCTGAGATTTGGTCATCTGTAGAAGAAGAAGCTCTTACCGCATAAAATATCATCAACTTGACAGATTTAGACTCTTCAGCAACACAACCTGCTGACATATTTGTCAACCCAAAATTTGCGGAGACACTTTTCCTCCACAAGCAATGTAATGCCCAGAACGTACCACAATACGAGGGGGTAGGGAATGTTCCTGGTGCTGAGCTTCAATCCAGCAATGGCTTGTCACCCAAAAAAAGACAATGAACCACCAGTGGCCAATCAATAACATGCTTCGTTCTCTATTTAGGAAATTATCTCTTGATGATCTCCTGACCAATGTGATGATCTACTGGACCACTGGATCAATCGCATCTTCCATGAGGTTCTACAAGGAGAATTTCCCAAGGAATTATAGCCGCACCCCAGACACCAAGTGAGTATAAGATACACTATATTGGCAAAAGTATTGGGATGCCGGCCTTTACACGCACATGAACTTTATTGGCATCCCAGTCTTAGTCCGTAGGGTTCAGTATTGGGTTGGCTCCGCCCTTTGCCGATATAACAGCTTCAGCTCTCCTGGGAAGGTGTCCACAAGGTTTAGGAGTGTGTCTATGGGAATGTTGGACCATTTGTGCGGTCAGGTACTGATGTTGGAGGAGAAGGCCGGGCTCGCAGTCTCCGCTCTAATTCATCCCAAAGGTGTTCTATCGGGCTGAGGTCAGGACTCTGAGCAGGCCAGTCAAGTTCCTCCACCCCAAACTCCCCCATCCATGTCTTTATGGACCTTGCTTTGTGCACTGGTGTGCAGATCATGTTGGAACAGGAAGTGGCCATCCCCAAACTCTAAGGAAATGTCACGGAACACCTGAATCCAATGATCTGGAGGGATGTCCCAATACGTTTGGCAATATAGTGTATGTGTAACGGTAAGCTCCTCAGGGGCGGGTCCTCTCCTCCTCCTGAGTCTTCTTTCTGCTCACCTTCTGGAGTGTGTAATTTGTGTTTCTTTGTTATTTCATATACAGATCTGTGATACAGGTTAGCTTTTATAAAGGATATTAAAGCTCATGATTTGTAGGCGTGTTTCCAGGAAATGAATGTGTAAGTATTTTAGTGATTTTACACTTTTATCTCATTCCAGGATTGGGGTGCATGTGCCAACCGGTATTGCTGCATTCCCCTGTGAGATCGTGCACGCCCCTCGGGTTTGGGCAAAGGAGAAGTTTAGGAACATTGTCACCTACACATTTATGCCCCGCGGGGGGCACTTTCCTGCCTTTGAAGAGCCAGAACTGTTGGCCCGCGACATCCAGAACTTTGTGTTGAAGGTGGAGAAGCTGTAAAATGGGGAGTGGCCTTATAACGTCAGATGGCAGAGTCGTGGTGAAGGGTGAAGAACCAATTTATGATGCCACTTTCAGATATAGACAATCTTGAGTTGCAGCATCAGCCTGTCTGTGCATGGCTGGGCTCTGCTGAGAGTGATTTCCATTTCATGTTCATGCTTTCAGTCTGTTCCTGCAAGGCCTTCATTAAACGATTATCTTCCGACCAGTGTCTCCTCTTGCCCTGGCTATCCAGAATCCACAAACATCAAAGATCCAGCAAAGTGTTTATTTCTCCAATGAATATATAGAGACAGAAGAACGATATTTCATACTCATCTGTTATAAAGCTGTAACAGGGAGGCCGGATAAAATGAGGAGCCTGGAGTGACCACCCCGTCTGACAGCAGGGACCCCCAGAGAGAAAGTAAATGACATTCTCCCTAAAGACAGGTACACTGCCACTGTGAATTGCTCAGCTCATTATTGGTGCACATTCTTACTATTCCTGCCCCAAGGAAGCTCCTGTACACCTCTGACATGTACGGGCCCCATAACATAGAATGGAAATCTTGTGCTGAGTGTTGTCACACTTCTGGGAGTGATAGTGAGGAGGTTTAGGTGCACCCTGTTGCGCTTTAAAACGATACATCGGCAAGGCGTTCACTTATTGCTGATGAAAAGAAAGGATCACATCCCGCTAGGCTATGTACAGTGTGCCGGGCAAATACCGCTCTTCTCTGCACCTTGCTGGACGAAGGGAGAGAGCTGGTGACCTGTGATCCTTCATTTTCTTCAGCAACCAGTGAATGTTACACTGTGCTATTTCTGCCCCCCAATTCCCTCATTTCCCCTATACAGATATAATGTCAGCGATTGTCTTTCTCCGGATTACAGTCTGAGCTCTGGACACCGAGGGTTCAATTTGTTGACTGGAAAAGGCCAAAAGAAGGCCTCCTTGGGTGGGTTGGCCAAAGCACAGTCCCACAGTCACTAAATCCCTCTACAGATGGTGTCCATGGTTTATCTGTATGCAGAGACCTGAACCCGTAGCTGACCAGGGGCCTTTGAAACCTACTCCCTTGGCTGCCCAGGCCTTGGTGAATCAGGACACAGTGTGGAAGAATCAAACCATCACTGACCAAAACAACCCAGGGAAAGGAGGAAGGACTGTTTTTGGGATTGGGACAGTTCTCTCCATAGGGGAAACTGTATGTCAAGGCCTGGAGTAATGGCTGGCTCGCCAAGATAAAGTAAATCCACCATTACCCTAGACTTTGAGATACAGCCCACCATACAGTGTATGAGAAGAACGGTCCTAATCCCATGATCAATTCCTCCAATCTCAGATGGACTCCCGTCCCCAAATATAATATCACAGAGAAAATCTACTGCACATCTGCACAGCGTTAAAGGAGAACTATGGGGTTAGGGCTTTTCCCCATAGTTCTCCTTAGGGTAACGGGAGGACACAAACTAGCGTTCTCCCGTCACCCAAAGCTCTGTACATAGGGAGCTACAGCTCGCGGTATACTGAGACGCCGCAGCCGGGACGGATCCTGACATTACTGTCGAGATCCACCCAGCTGCGTAAGTGACAGCTGGCTCTGTCTATCTAGAGGCAGAGCCAGCTGTACCCGCCCCCACAACTGTCCGTTACGCCAGTCAGCGCTGGAGGATCGGAGCGGGGGAATCCCTGCAGGGAGCCATGAGTGACAGTCTCAGGGACACGATCGAGAAGTGAGCGACGGTATGTGTCCGCTCACTTCCCGATCTATTGAGCCGACCTGTGACAGTCTCATTGTCACAGGTCGGCTCGAACTATGAGAGTAATTTTCACTCACCTCATAGTTCTCCTTTAACACTGCAACCTTGACCTGTAACTTATTTTCTAATGCAGCTTCCACACGTCTAACCAGAGGCTGCACCATATTCCCTGCGTATTTTATATAGAGGTGTGTGGATTCTCCTAGTAGTAGCAATCTGTACACCAGGCAGTACAGTCAGCTCCACTGAATGAACGCCGACATGCAACCAATCTGCTATACAGCGCGCCTGTTGTTTTCAGCTGCTTTGAGCAGACTGACAGACCAAAAGAAAAACACAAATCACTGCAAAGCCTCCAATTCACAAAGAAGTATGACGGCACCCATGAACACGTGTGTGTATATATATATACAGTATATTGTGACAATCTATACATAGAAAGCAGGTATATAAAACACGTATTGACAAAATGTTTACATTGAATTGAACACATTCTAATAAATGTAAAAAAAATACCAGATACCCCTTAAAGGAACACTCCACTTTTGCTTTAAAAATTGTATACCGTGTTTCCCCGAAAATGAGACACGGTCTTATACGTTTTTTTGGCTCAAACAAACACACTCGGTCTTATTTTCGGGTAGGTCTTTTTTTTTTTTTAATGTACAACAATCCGCACTTATTCATGTACAACAGTCTACCTGTATTCATGTACAAAAATATGGTGATCAGGGCAATCAGGGGTGCCGTACCTTTCCAAGCACAATGTGGTAACCAATCGCTGGCCAGAATGAGCGAAGTGCGCTTTCACTATAGGTTCCTCACAGGCGGAGTGCATTTGGTATGACTCCGCCTGTGACAGGAGCCGGCACTATAGAGGAGGCATCGGCTTATGCGGCTCTGCTCCCTCCGCTGCCGCCTCGCTTCCTCTAGGGCTGGCTTCGTTGGCACCGCTGATTCTCTCCCGCGGCTCTTCAAGTTCCCCCTTATGCCACCACCGGCCCTGGGAATGATCACAACTAGGTCTTATTTTCGGGGAAACACGGTATATACAATAAATATACTGTGTGTGTGTGTGTGGATAGATAGATAGATAGATAGATAGATAGATAGATAGATAGATAGATAGATAGATAGATAGGTAGGTAGGTAGATAGATAGATAGATAGATAGATAGATAGATAGATAGATAGATAGATAGATAGATAGATATACAACTCTCAATAATTAGCTATATATATATAGATATAGATACATATACACACACACATACATATACACACATATACATATACAGTATACGCACAGGTCATTTTGTAATGTAAAAACATTTTTTAAATGATTGTTCCATTTTATTCTATAAATATCAAAAATTGTCAAAAAATATAATGCAATTTTTTTACCAAAAAAAAGCCACCCGGAGGCGTTGTGTATACCACGAGTGTACAGAATGACCCCAAGTACTGTCATGGAGTGGTGGGCTGGCTGCTATCTATGTACTGAGCTACAAGTCCCATTCCGGGCGACCCCAATAAAGGGGTTTCCTTGTTCTTGTCCTCTTCTACGAAGGATGCAGCTCATACAGCTTTTCTCATGACAGCAATGAGATTGCTCAGGTGGTGATAATGACGGCTGACCTTCCCATTCAGAAATCATGACAGGAAGGGACATGGGGGGCAAATGTCGCATACCAGAAAGAGACAAGAACACGCCGGCAGGAATAATCCTTGCAATGACGAGAGCTCACATTGGGATTGTATTCACGCGATTTAAAGTAGAAGAAAATCCTGAATATTGTTTTTAATTTATAATAATACAAATATAACCATAAAAAAGATCCCAGAGGAGCTACAAACTAGAAATAAATAGTCAGAATATGTGCTCAGTGTTGGGAGTTGGGACGGAGTAACATTTTTACTGGGTTTCCCTGGAACCTCCTCCAGGGGGCGCTAATAGCTCCTTCAGGTCCTTCCTTCTCACTTGCCATTTCCTTTTATTGTAAGTGACGCTGACAGTATATAGAAGAAAAATCAAATGTCATTTTCTTGGCGGTTTGTGTTGCGTCGACTTTATCCGATCACATTTCCCGTTCATTCCACGACAATCCACGTTCCACCTTCTGTTCCACTTCCAAGCCCAGCAAAACAAGTCAGTCTTGTGATCACTGTCCACCTATCAGGACCAGGCGTGCCCCAGTCCTCCACACACACACAAGGTAGTATAGTAACCTGAGATCCGAGGGCGCCGCCCACGAGGAGCGCTGCTTATTCCTTCTTCCAGAACAACTTCCTGAACACAGACTTATTCCGCAGCTTCTGATCTGATCTGTTATTGGTCATGTGGGAGGAGGCAAACGAATGGCAGCGCACGCGCGGGGTGAGCGGCTCGTCGATGTACAGGGTGACGGAGTAGCTGGGTGACGTCTCCGGGGGGCCGGGAAAAGACGACATCTTCTGATACATGACTGTGGAAGGAAAAGAAAAAGGGCCATGTGACTCTTATATGTCTGACAACACTTTCTGATGGTGACTAAAACTAGGAATCCCCTCCTCCTCCCAACCCCAAAACTCGGTATTATCCCCGAATGAGTCTGATCATTGTTCCCACAATTTCCTTCTTCTTCCTGAGACTTTCCATAGGGATCTCTTTGTTCTATGCTTCCTTCTTCTCTCCTTCTTCTATTCTTCCTCTGTCATGCTTCATTCTATCCCTCCAT